AAGCTGCTGCAGCCTGGGGATGGGGCCCGTGTGGCCCAGCCCGGCGGCGGCTGCCCCGTCCCGTCCCCTGCCTCAGGGGCGCCTTCGGTTCAGATCCCAGCGCCCCGCTTTTCTGAAAACAACCAACCCACCACCCAAAACCCACCCAAACCCCCTTGGCTGTTTGTTGGGTTTTGTTTTAGGAGAAGAGAGATGCATTCAGGTAAATCAGCTCGCGTCTGGGTGCTGCAAAGAGTCAGACCTGTGGTCTGCAAAAATGAAGAACAGTAGTCTAAATAAACTATTAAAAAAAGGCAAAAACAGACGTAAAATCCCTATACATTTCGTTTAAAACCATTCGAGAGTCTCAGGATATTTTCAGTATTATAAATGACAGCATATTGCCTCTTTTTTTTTTCATGCTACATATACTCAGTAGGTTTTAAAACAGATCAAATTTTTGTTTAAATCATTGCATCTATAGCTTATTATTTTTTTTATACACCCTTTTTACTTGTGATACATACCACACTGCTCCGTGTCTTTGTAGGGTCAAAGAAGGTAGAACTGGGCCACAAATTGGTCTGCTGCAACCTACAGTGTCCTGACCTGGAATACCTGAAAGGAGCCCGTTCAGCTGGAACAATTACTATTTTATTAGTAGAAAACAGGAGTAGTATATATTTCTCTGTTAGAAATCAGTTCTGCCTACATTTTACTCTGCATGGCTTTTATAAGTAGGAGTAATTGCCTAGCTGAGAAGAAAAAAAAAAAAGAGGTTTTGGGTTTTATTGTATGAAGCAATTAAAACAGACACAAAAAATGATCCTATTATTAAGTTCTGTGTCTCATCATCAAAGCTCGAAAACTGCTCACTGAAATCGCTTTTTTTTTACAATAATCTTCTAAACAGCCTTGAAAATGAGTGAATTGATTTTGTTGAAACAATGTCCCCCCAAATCAGCCAAAATATGGTTAAAATCTGTTTAAATAATAAAACAAATCTTACATTGGGAAGTGGGCAATACTTCAACTAAAGTTATTAGTAGACTCAGCACAAATATATAATCTAAAATAGTTTTTCACCCCTTCACTGTTATGCAGGGCTAGACAATAATTAGCAGAGATGAGAATAGTTATTAAAAAATACTGTTCCCTTTTACGTATTTTTTTGTCCCCCAAAGTAACCATCTCTTGCAACCTATAGATTAGTATTTATATTTTTCCACTTGTATCCAAAGCATGTAAGCACTTGACAATCACAAGTAAATTACACCAGTGCGCATCTATTAATACCTGGAGGATATTCCAGCTGGCTTGATTGATCACTAATAATTAGAGTTAGAATTGTTCAAATGCTAATTTTATCCCCTTCCAGTCTACCTGCCATCCTTTCCCAGTGTCTTTCTCAGACAGGTTATTTCCCCCACTGAGCCCCATGCTCCAGCTCTCTTTTTATTTGCTCAGCAGGACATCCTTTGAAGGGGTTTGTAAGTACTCCATTTCTAGGAAAGAGTTATTACATCATGAATAATATCAGGTTCGGAATTACGTGCCTGCAACAAGGACAAATCCTGTGACAGGTAAGCGCATCGGTTTCTAGGACTACCGTGCTTCTCTGTGTTTGAATACTGGTTTTTTTTTTTTAGAATATGCTTTATTTTTTAAAGAATATGGTTTATTTGCTGCATTTATGCCTGTCCCCCCCCCCCCCCCGCTTACTCTCACTGTCACGTCAAGCTTAGTCTCAAAACATATTTAAAGAAATTAAGGAGGACTTAAAGAGGTGATGGCTACAAAAAGACAATACTTGTGGAGCCCCTGACCTGTCAGTTTGCAGGAAGTAGTCAAGTCACAAAAATACGGAAATTGCTATGGTTCGGAGCATGAAAATCAGCATATGCAGTCATCATGTATTTTTCTGGAAGATGGGCTAAACAACCTCTGTCACTTTTGCCATGCAACGGAACCCGCTTCCTCTTTTAGGGATCACCCTGCCACTTCCCATTAGCGTTAGCAGCGCTCCAAACTGCAAAACCTCAGGCTGAACACGCCGAGTGCTGTCGCTTCCCCTGCGGGCCATCTGGTGACGATAACCCATGGATGGGCGGACGGACGGATTCACCCACGTGGCGGTGTCCGAGTCAAAAGCTGGCAACAGGCAGGGAAGCCCAAACTTGTTGGGGCAGACGTCTGCTGCGACAGGGGGAATTGGAGCGATGGCCCCGACAAGGGCAAGGCGGGGGATGCACTTTGCGCCAGCAGAAAGAGTCCATGGGCTCCACCCGTGACCGGAGACTGAGACCGCCATCGTGATGGCTGGAAGCTTGAGGGGCCACCGTGCCGGCGCGGGCCAAAGCGGGCCTGGGGCTGCGCTGTTTGGAGGGGTGCCTCGTCGGATTAGCCGTGCGGCTACTGTATTTGATGCTCAACCTGGAAGGACAGGCCCGCCCGGCAGAAACTGCCCAGGCAGATGACGCTAGGGAGGACAAAAATTATCTGCCGCAAGACTAAGACGACAGATGACACCCAGCAGGAACAGCAAGCCGAATCTGCAGAATCCACAATGCAGCTGGCTAGCTCGAGGCTACCTGCCTCTTTGAAGTGGAATAGACATCACCGACGAGCTGTCAAATTAGATCACCAGCCTGGAAACGCTGAAAGAGATTTAGTTCTTCCAACAGAGAAGGGAAAGTTTAATAGATGAAAATCTTCCTAAGGGGGCCAAGGTAGCGTGGGAGGGGGAAGGGGAATCCTTCAGACACAGCAACAAGGAAAAATTATTCACCTCCCGTCTGCCCACGGAGCACGGGACGGGATGCTTGGCATTCTGCCGCAGTTGCCATGGCTGTACTCACCACCAGCACGGAAAATAATGGCCACACCTGCAGGAACGTGCACAGAGCAGCAACAAGTAACCCTTGCTACAAAATCAATTCCCCCCCTGCCCCAACTTGCTTTATCTTTATATGTCGCCCTGCAGCTGGGCTCTTAAGTACTATAAATCTAATATTAGAGACATGCAGCGGTGGGATAGAAAGACCTAGCCTGAATCCAAAAGCTCGGTGCAGCAGAGGCGTGTGATGGCATCTCCCCTCACACATCTTTTGCAATGAAATTCAAGCGCAAAAGCCATGTGAAATACAATTCAGTTTTGCTAAGTCCAGAACAAAAATTATGATCACCAAGTGAGTAAGCATGCGCTCAGGTGTACAGTGAATACAAAACCTGGCGTTTCCATTAAGGACAGCATCATCACGATCCAATTATAGATGCAAAGAAGAAACACTGCTCTTAGGGGAGAAATATTAAATGTATTAATCTGTTAAGCAGCTGCATCTTTGCAATTACACTTTGAAGTTAAAGACCGTGAAACACCAAAGATTAAAAGAAGTCATAAAATTTAAAACTAAAAGGAAAAAAAAAATCAAGTAGGCCTGCAGATCTCTCTTCCTAGCAAAAGGTAATAAAGAGGTAAAAAAATTACGTATGAGGCTCTGTATACACATATAATTATAAAATCTGCTTATGGCCATACCAAAGCAAATTTACTTCGAGAAAAATCATGATAATGTCTCTATTCCCAACTTCAGCATTCACATAGCAGACAAACCATAAATCACCTGCAGAGATGCAAACTGAAGATGCTAGCAGATCAGAAAGAATATGAACCAGACCTCTGAATAGAAGAGCTTACACTGGATTTCTTGATAATGTTTTTATAGGTGTATCCTTTTATTTCCATCTCTCTCAGCTCATCTCTTTTTAAGTAATTTGTCCTCATCTCTTCCAAATCCACAGCACTGAGCAGCAGAGTTTTGGTCATCTACTGCTTTTTAACCAAGAGGAGAATAAAGATGCTCAAGTTCTACAGGTCTCATCTGTAATGTTACTTGTATGTATTTTATTTCATAGATGAAACCACGTTAACACTTCTAATACACGAGTGACTGACTTGAACTGCAAAGTACTCACATCCATCTTAAACCTCAGCTAGTCTCAACTTCCTGCTAATAACCCAGGACCCACACCCATGCTGAGCAGACTAGATTACTCTTACATCAGCTACAGTTATAACTGAAATAAATGTGTGTGTGTGTGTGTGTGTGTGTGTGTGAGAAAGAAGTTGAAGAATTGTTTTATCAAGATACTTCAGTGAGCTGTAACACCTGCTAGGAAGTTTAAGATTTACCATACAAAAAATAAGTTCCCCATTTCTAGGCCTACGTTCTTCCAAAGACTCAGATGGTAGTAAGAAATTCCTGGGAGAAAGGCTACTTCAGTTTAAAAATATTTTGAAGAGGCTGGGGTAGGCTACAGAGGAGGATTATAAGAAAAAAAAGATTAAAAGGATGTGAAAATATCACCTCTTACAGGGCAAACAGCTAAGATGCCAGCTAGGAGAATTCACAGTCGAGATGTTATGCATTCTACTCAGAGAAGCTCTGGCAATTCAGTAGGTGCAAACGTCTTGAAAAGAAGTACTTGCTGTGGCCGGGCAGTGAAGAAACATAATGAAACTTGCTTGACTGGACTGTTTCAGTTGTTAGCCAGAAGTGGTACCTCCTAACTTGGTTTCTGTGTGGGAAACTGGGATGCCAACCTGGTAGGTAAAAATCACTGATGACACAAAAGAAACTTGACAAAAGGCATGTGACACATTTAAAATATCACAAAAAAAAAAAAAAATCTTTACAGTTTTGCTGCTGAAATGGATGCTGAGATGGAACCGCAAGGTTTTCTTAGTACCCAGGTTTAAACTGAGACAAAGTGTTCTTCTTCAGCGTTACACAGATCTTCTCAAGTTTCTCATCCCTACTCACTCTCCTCTAATCCCATATTAAACCCGTGTTTTTCTATAAACCACTGTTGCCCAGTTGTTAAGTCTCAGTGCAAGAACTGCCCCAAGAGACTTCTGAAGTCAAAGTGAACTCTGACAGCTCATTTGCAAATGAAGATGACTAAAAATCCGCAGCACGTCTCTAACATCTCCAATGCAATACTTGAACATCTGTTTCTGGATAAACACCTGGCTTGCCTGCAAGCAGCGGTCATCTTGGCATCACGGGGAAAAAGACAAGTCAAAGTGTTAAGTGTAAGATTTCACTGAACACTTACAATTATCGTATTTATTTCACTGTTCAATTCTTCAGTTGCTGAAAGGCTGTCATGCAGCACTATCTCACCATATGGCAACAACCTCAACTCCTAGAGGCATATACTTAAAAGACCATAACATGTTAGGCCCCTTGAATAAATTAGATAGAACAATTATGCAAACTAATAATACTGCAATGATGAGATACATTAACAAATGAGAGTGTCACTGTTTATGAAATGCTGTGAAAATAAATTCCACACATCACTGTGGCCATCATCATCATCATACTGCGAAGCAACAGAAGTAAAACAACATCACAGTATTCACTGTGCCTTTCAGCAACTGAAATTTTAACAAAGGGGGTTGCAAGGCAGGAAAGTCACTTTTACAAATGTTCAGTGAAAGTTAACAAACTATTACAGAAACAGAACGACAACTCATAGTAGCTTTAAAACCAGCAGAACATTTTCCCACGCATATAAATAACATGAAGCATCATCTTAATAAATGTACCTCATACCATCTCAGATAGACCAAGCTACATTTTTATTATTTTTTCAGAAGTATTTTTTATGGATTTAGTTGCCGTTGATGATCAAAAGGCATTAGACAGAAAGGGGGAGCGGGGAGGAAATCAATACCATCTGGTTTTCCCAGTCATCTCTCTAAAGGCAAAGTCTCAATTCATCCTTCTCTGCTTTTAACCCACCACCCCCTTAAGTTTCTTCATGCAGGGGAGAGACTTTTTTTTCCTTAGTTTTTTCAGCAGCAAGCAACACTTCTGTTCTACACCAGAGAAAATAAAACTGGCACAAGAGGCTAGGGGATACTGCAGCGGTAGCATGTAGCCACCCTGAGAAATCCTGACACTTGGAAACAGCAGCTGTTTGTGATTAAAAACAAAACAAAAAAAAGACACTTTGTAGCATCATCCCTACAAAATTTACCTGAAAAATGGCAGTATTGTTTTCAGCAATATTTTTAGCTCTGGTTCCATTTTAGTGTTCTTACGTGTAACATAAGCTGCTGTTTCCACAGGTGAAGGCTTGCATACACACTTTACAAAACATATTATCATTTGCCATAGCAATTATAAAACCAAACAATCTGTTAAGATGAACGTGAAACTTCCCCAAACCCTGACCAAATGCACTGATGATTCCCACTCATGCTCCCCTTCAGAAACAGAAAATGGTTCATTACAGTAGAATTTAGAAGTGTACGTACTTTTCTAAGTCTCATCATCACTTGCTCCCAGCCATAACTGGGGGGAAAAAAGCAAACTCACTTATATACATACTACCAGGTAACAAACATTTGAATAAATTGGGAATTAAGAGTGCAGGTGCTAACAGCAAACACCTGAATCCCTCAGTCTGTCAAATACAGAAAGCCTGGAGTATGAAGTTTCTAATGTAGATTTGCACTGAAGCCCACTCCACAATTCTTGACCATATCTCCAGATTTCAGCGAGATCTCCATAATTACATACACAAAGCCTGCTTCCAAATAGCAAGGAACAAGAGTAACTAATAGGAGAAATGGTAGAAGCTGAGAATTAAGCCGCCTAGGAAATGACAAGAATGTTTTCAAACCAAACAAGAATATTTTCAACAACAATAAGATGTTCCTAAAAGTAATACTGTGTGTGTGTAAACCCTCTAAATAAATTATGTATATACAGGAAACACCCATGAGAGCACCTGGAATTGTCCAAGTTAAGCTTACTTATGCGATCTTCTTCTGTCCTTTTACACGTTAGGACAATTTTAAATTACCTCATCTCATTATCTATCTGCTTTTTTCTTAAGGCCTTGTAACATTCAAATTGCTCAAACAGCTACCCAGGGTATCTTTATGTCTACCTTACTGGGTGGGAAGCTCCTGAAGTAGCACACAAGCTAAGACAAAAGAATGTACAACTGAAGTTGTTTGCTGAACACTGTTTAGAAACCAACATAGAAGTTTATCAATTAAAATATCAAAACATTTTTCTATTTCTTTCAGTGTTTTAGAAGAAATGTTAATTGAGTAATTACCTTCTGCACAATTCAGTTCAGATATATCCTTTAGGGCATTTAAAGTTAGCACTTTTAAATTTGTTAAGTAAAAATGGAGGGACCTCATTCTACAGTGAAATGACCTGTCCAAAACTCTGATTCAACAATAGCATATGGTTTTAAAAACAAACTTTAAAACACTGAGGGTGAACTTGACAGACTGCTCGGTATTATCTTAAGCCAAGTCATCATCATGTCATTCCCCCCCCCCTTTTTTTTTTTTTTTGGGGGGGGGGGAGATCTCAAAATTTCCATTTTTACTTGTGTGGAAATACCATACGAAGCGAGACATACGCAAAATCTTGAAAACCTCTAGCTTTGTTACTGAGTTTGAAAGAAAAAGCTTCTAGAATCAAAATAAAAGTCCCTATATCACAAAATAACGCAGCAAGTGAACTAACCTTTTAAAATCTTCATTTTCATTACTGGAGATAAACTAAAGTTCCACAGCCAAATTAAGACTACAGTTTTAAAATAATTTATTCAGTCACATAAATACTTTGTAACATTTGCATGTTCCCTTTTTCACATCCTTGGCACGCAATATAGCTCTTAACTTTTACAAAACTAGTGTAAACATCCATGGAAAATAAAAGAGAGTGGGACATACATAAAATTCAATAAATAGCAAAAGGAGTGAATAATTGAAGGAAAATGAGTAATTCTTTCCTACTAAGACTACGTAATTACACCTGAATGTTTAATTGAAAGAACTTTCCATTTTTTAAAAATAGGGAATTTAAAAAAAAAAAGTCCATTTCCATCTTTCTACCATTGTTGCATTTAATCAGATACATGATACACTTTAATTAGTCCAGATTCTTGAACTAACAATAGCAATTCAATGCAATTGTATTATTTGAGGCATCAACAGTTTGGTTCACATACAGAAGGTTACAAACCAGTATTTGCAAGTTAGTGGTTTTGGACTGTATAACTTCTAAATTCCTCAAACACCCTTCCAACATGACACTGAGATTTTCCTTAATGAGCATTAGTGTATAATCTGTTCTTGATAAAGACGACATTAGACAGATGTTGTCGGACGCCTGGATAATGCTGAATGTGACTGAACCAACGAGACACATTAAGGTACGTCTCCTTTTCTTGCACCGTAAGGTCCACCTGCATGGGGAAGAAATACAAAGCACCAATAATACAAGGCACTGCAATCATTAGTGTCATAACATGTGGCAAGGTAAAATACAAGTGGATAGTTTTACAGCTGATTTCAACCCACATAAAAAGTTGTCACAGTCTGGCAGTATTCTGTCTTAATTTCAGATATTAAAATTCACAGCCCAGAATATGCATTTACTTTTAATTCGCTCAAATGAGCAGACCCGGAGCACGGAATATACATTTGTATGATAGAGAGAGGTGAAAAAGGGCACTGGGTTGCTTGAACTTAATGCATCTGTTCACAGGTTTAGCACACAGCATTGGCAGGGGCAAGGAAGAGTTCCACACCACACACAAGTCTTTCACATAATTCTAGCAGGCAGTCTTGCCTCACAGGCAAAGTGACTACTCTGTATTTCAAGGTGTATACCAAGTACAGAATTAAGGTTTTTTGTCCTGGAATTTTAGACTGGATAGAAAAATTGAAAGTTGTTTTCCATTCTGAGCAATAGTGATACAATAGTTGCTAAGAAACAGCATAGCTTAACACTTCACTGTTGCGATGTGGTAGCTGACGTTATTAAGATAGCAACGGCATGATTCAAATTACTACAATAAAACAAACTGGAAACCTCTCCATACTTCATAAACATATTTAAAGTACTATCACTTACTCCTACAGTTTTAGGTCCTGTTGTTCACCAGTTCGAGTTAACAGCACAGTCACTTGCTGAGTTTAACCCAGATCTGAACAGCTGCAAGATCAGTCAGGAGGCAGCCTGCAACTAGCACCCAGCTGTTGCAACAGCTCCTTGCCACAGGAATTGTGGCTAAGGAAGAGCTTCAAGCCTACCGTTACTTTTATCAGAGGACTGGCTCAGATAAAGTCATCCACAACTACAGATCTTAACTATACCTTTCAAAGTCTTCTAAGTTCAAGTCAGCAAAGTCCTCAAAGCTTGGCTAAAAGTCTTCTATTTCTTCAAAGTCTGTCAAGCCAGCTGTAGAACTATTCCCATCCTGTACCACCTGTATTACTGTTCCTTGATCAGCAATTCTAGGTCTCCTCCTTCCTCTGTAATGAAGTTAGCTTAGCAGTTTTGACAATAACCTGTTTCCTCACATTAACCTACTACAACTGAATTACAGATGGGGTAGTCCTCAAAACAGACTACAAAAACTGCATCAGGAACAAAAAATGATCTTCACAGCAACCACCTCATCTCATCTCATCTCATCTCATCTCATCTCATCTCATCTCATCTCATCTCTCATCTCATCTCATCTCATCTCACCAATATGTAAACCAATCAGTGTGGGATGCAGCTCACTTCATTTTCAGTTAGCTAAGTTAGCCATCAAGCTTAACTTCGTCATCCTGACAACAACTGCAGTCAACAAAAAAGGGCACACCTGTACAGGATAGTTTTAACAGACAAATCACTAGATAGGCATGCCTAGTATTTTTCATGGTTAGACTTTAAAAGCTACTCAAGGCTAATCCCCTCCTCAAAAGCCAAACAGATGACATATTCCTTATGCCTTCTTCCGCAAACACCAGATTTCATGGATAACGCAGGCTTGTTGCAAATTCAGTCTTGGGCACAGGACAGCTGGAAAGAAACATGTTCCAACAAACTTTAAATCACAGGAAGAGCTATACATACTCATTTACTCAGCTGTATGAGCCAAAAGCTGTTCAAAACTCAGTCTCATGTTAAATTTCACCTTACAACATACCAGCCCTTTAGATTTCAAGAGCTGCCTGTAGCATTTGCTGCTTCTCCTCACTGTTGTCTCACATAGCCCAGCACTTGGCTTAGAATTGGAAAGCTTTAAACATGTACAGGTAAAAAGAAAATAAGGATATATACTAGAAGTTGAACAACTGGAAAAATACCAAGAAAGAAGAATTTCAAGGAGTTGCAGTAAGGAATTGTGCACCAATGCCACATAGCATTAAAGCTCTAGTAAGAGTAAGTTAAGAGCATAGTAACTGCAGCAATGACTGAAAAGCAGGGATCATGCAGCTGCTCCTAAACTCAAGTAGCTCTTCTTCCTACGGGACTCACCTGCCGTAATACAAGCATAGCACTGCACATGCACTGCCACAACAACTTCTGCAATTTTGAACTGTTTAAAACCCCAGTTCAGGCCACATGACAAAATCTGCTTTTCTTGCTGCTGGCAAGAAAATGTAAACACTATTCCTACAGCTGTATAGTCTGACAGAAGTGTACAGACAAATCAATTAAAACACAGCCGTGTGTTATTTTTGCTGAGCTAGAAAGCTAAGAGAGTTAATCAGCATTAGCCAAGTAGAAGAGAATAATACCAATAAGGGGAAAAACTCCAGAATTTTTAAAGGCACTGGAAACAAAAAATGAAAACTATTAAAATGTAACACCAAATGCTTCACAAATTGCCTGAGCTTCTTCAAGTACATTATATTCAGAACCAAAAAACCCATGCAGTACCATTCAGTGGAAGATGCTTTTGATCACCTGCAGCTTGCTACAATTAATGGTAGTTGGAAGCTAGTGCTTGGTATGAAGCTGTAGAACCACTTACAAAGCAACACAGAACATGAGAAGAGCAACACGTGTGCTCTCAGGCCATCCAAAATTACTGATAGTGATGAAAAGTATTTAAGTATGAGCAGATACTAAAAATACTGTCACCTTAAGTTCCATGAGTGTTGTACGCTTGAAGTTATAATTACAATATCCTTTTTCAAAGTCTTCAACAGGTAAGCACTTGGTTATGAAAATGCTGAACTTCAGATTTTGCAGCAGACACATCATTTCCTCACCATAATTTTATACTGATAATTCTCAGTCTTCACATTTCTCTAATGTAAATCAAAAATAAAGGAAAACTAGTCCTCCTCTATTCCGTTAGCGCAGTGAAAAAACATCTGAAGGGCAAACCAGACAGCTACTCTAATAACAAACCCCCTTTTTGTACTCTAGGCACAACAAGCGAGATATTTTTACTTATTTACATAATGTACTCTATCAGTGAAATATATTAAGAAGCACTTTGTGGCATGCTCTACTTTTTACTCAGCACATAACTCTTAGGTTAATTGTTTAGAGATCACTTCCATGGCATTTTTTACAACATTTTGTTAGATGGGTATTTTCTGTTCTTCCTCATTAAATTAGATAATTCCCCCAAGTTAAGAAAGGCTGCTGTTCTGCTGTTAAAATAATTATTTGCTATTAAAGCAATTATTTTAATAGCAATGAAGGAGACACTCATTTTGACAGGCTTTTTTTTATGTCATGAAAAAAAAGTCTTATTCTTCCACCACAAAGCTCACAAAGGGTAACCAAGGTGGTCATCATACAACACAACTAGAAGAGTTTCTAGAGCGGCTATAAATATACGCACTTTAAATATATTTGCTTTCAGTAGCATTGGGGATGCAGGCATAAATTCCCATTCCCACACCCTGCATGTGCATGGAAAGTCTAAAAATAACTGCCTACATCTGAAGTTCTTCAGCATCGAGAAAAGGATAAGATAAAAAAACCAGAGCTGAACGGTGTATTTAATGAAATACATATACTTTCACATAGTTTTGACTAATTTTCTGCTGTTACAGGAACATGCTTAAAATTACATCTTTTTCTTAAAGTAACACTGTTTTACGTAATTCAGTGCGAGTACCATTTCCGGCATCATTATTTAGAAGGAAAGTCTGTTAACCCAGTACTAAGATAAGCAGCATATCAGTGAACATTAACAAAATCATCGCAATTCGTTTACTACTGGAAATGTTCATAATGGAAAAAGTTAACTGGAAAATAAACTACTATTGTTGTCTCATTATAGTTCAGTATTCGTAGTTCTGATCCGAGCAGAACAATTTAGTTTGTTTTGTACTTGATTTGACCCCAAAATTTTGACTGAGGCTTCATCCATTTGCAGATATAAATTTCTCCCATAAGTTATCTTCTAGACCTTATTAAAGAAATTTTTAAGTCAGACATACAGATTCAAGACTGCTTCCTTGGTTCTGATAAAATTTTTGAAGTCTAAACACAAATCAACCTTTTCATTTATTATTTCTCTTAAATAGAGCTGGACTCGTGCTGATTGAAATTACTTCAGAATAAAAACACAGGGAAACTTTTTTATTTTAAATAAAAAAGAGATGAAAACAAGTTAATTACCACAGGGGGAATTTAATGCTTACTGATTGCCTGAGCTATCCTCAAGCAATGCTTCTAAAGCCACGTTTTCTCTGCAATCTATGCTTTAACCTAGTAGAACTTCATTGTTCATCATATTTATCCATATACATATTTAGTTAATCAAAGTGTCTAAAGACAACAACATTTATATTACATACATGGAGACACGGAATTACATATGACAATGTAAATCACATTCACTGAAAAAGCTCATTTAGACAGTTAATATCAAGCTTTACACTTTTTGGGTGTTTGTGAACTATATTAATGATGCAGAACAATGTATACAATTTAGTTTATGCCTTATTATAACAAGTGGGTATTTCTAACTAATAGACTCAAAATAGATTCAGTCTGCAAGAAGCCTAAAACACTACCTGCGTCTGACTCTCACACATTAAAATACTAATTTCTTTTGCACAATATGGATTTTTAAACACATAATACTTATGCATTTGTAAGTGCTATTGTGCTTATTAAGATAACTAGAAGGGACAGGAAGAATTAAAGAAAGCCATACAACTGCAAAATGAAGAGTTGCTGCTGTTAAGTAGACAAACCGATTAGCAAGTTGAAATGTGCGAGCCTGGACAGTGAAGAATCAGGCTCCAGAAGTCCCCCTGGACAATGGGAAGGGCAGAATGAAGGTGGGAGGAGGGGAGGAATATCCCAGAATCACAGAATGGTAGGGGTTGGAAGAGACCTCTGAGGGTCATCTAGTCCAACCCCCCTGCCGAAGCAGGGTCACCTACAGTAGGTTGTAGAGGACCTTGTCCAGGAGGGTCTTGAATATCTCCAGAGAAGGAGACTCCACAACCTCCCTGGGCAGCCTGTTCCAGGGCTCCATCACCCTCAGAGGGAAGAAGTTCTTCCTCATGGTCAGA